CACTAGCTGGGGTGACTTCCCCAAGTGTCCCTGTCGGTAAACTGTGGTGTCAGCCCCCACCCGCTGAGGTGAGCAGCAAGGGTACATGGGAAGTGCGTAGAGAAGGTGGCAAGGTGCCTGCATGTAGTAGGTGCTCAATAAATGGGGCCTTTTATCACCCCTTTCTTCCAGTGGTTCAGAAACAGTGCCCGGGCAGGTGTTCCAGGCCGCCTGTCTTACCCGAATTCTGCTGGACCACCCAGGTGGCTGGGGCTCGGGCCTGGGCCAAAAAAAACCGCCACCCCCGCCCGAGGGCCAGCCCACAGCCTCCCTCCGCCCAGGACGGGAAGGGCCCGTACTGAGCCAGGGCAGCCTGGCTCTGCTGGTCCTGTGTCTCCTGGTCCAGGACACAGTGAGCAATCAGCAAACATCTGCGGAGTGGACCAGGGGCCCTCCCTGCCCCAGAGCTGCCCGGTCCCGCCCTGCACCCGCACACCCTTTCCAGCCAGCCCCGCGATCCTGCTGGGAGGCAGGCAAGCTCCCCAGGGACCATCCTGGTGGAACATGGGGGCACCTGCTGAGACAGCCCCGCCCCCCTGCTCCAGGCCCCACCCCTGTCCCAGCACCCCCACCCTCCAGGCCCTGCCCTCCGCCCCACGCACCTCTGGCTCCCGCTGGAAGATGACAACCCGGCCACCCTTGTCGCCCGTGGCCAGCAGCTCTCCCGTGTGGTTGAACTCGACAGTGGAGATGACATCGGCTGGTGGGGGGGGGGAGACAGGAAGGCGAGGCTCATTAGGACCCAGTCCCATGCTGTTCAACACAACTGGGCCCACCTCACCCCACCCAGAGGCCCTGCACCCCCAAGAGGGGCCCCACCAGGCAGCAGGAGCCTGAGGGGTGGGGAGACACCTGCCCCCTCCTCCCTGCTGGCCAAAGGGCAGAGACCTGTTCACTCCGGCTCCTTCCTGCCTCCTGCCTCCTGCTCCTCCCCTCCTGCCTCCTGCCTCCTGCTCCTCCCAGAAGCAGTTTGAGGGTTCCCTCCTGTGCCCGCCAGGTGAATGGGATGCAAACCTGACACTCACTAGCCCAATTCTGGGGGCCACTGAGACCAACTATACCCCTTCCCGCCCCCCACTGAGCTCCCCTGGATGGGACCCCTGTGACCCTCACATTCCTGGTGGGGACTCCTAGGCACAGAGGATCTACTTCCAACAACCACCTCCCGGGCCACACCCTCCACTCTGTTCCCCCACAGCTTCCCGGGCGATGGGCCACCTGAGTCATGGGTGTCTCTGCTCAAAACCCTCCACTGGTCCCCACACCGAATCCTGATCCTCATCCCTCCAACCCCCCTCCTCTGCGCAGCCCCCACTCTCGGTGATGGCAGCTCCGACCTCTGCTGGCCCGGCCTGACTCTCTCTCTCTCCCCCTCGAGACCTCCGTCCCCCTCCCCCTCATCCACTGGCTCAGTCTTCATGCCCAATTCCACCCCCTTCTCTGCCTGTCCCCTGTGCAGGCCTACAGCTGCCTCCCCGGGCTCCCCTGGCCCCGCCCTGCCCGGCTGGGCTAGCCTCAGCAGGGAGGGCAGCGAGAGGGGCCCGCACCACAGCCTCCAACAACCCCCATCATGTCAGAGGAAAGCTAAGGTCTGGGAGCCTGAAGCGGTTTGTGACCTGCGTCCCCGAGGCAGCCCACATCAGGAGCCAATCTCCCCCCTCCTGCCCCTGCGGGAACCCAGCATTGCCGCCCCCGCCCTGACCCTGGGCTGGGCCCTGGGATTGGCTTAGGCCTGCAGGACACCAGCAGACAGGCCACCAAGCTGGGCCTGGGCCACCGCCCGGAGAAGGACCTGCCCGGAGAAGGGCCTGCCCGGAGAAGGACCTGCCCAGAGAAGGACCTGCCCAGAGAAGGACCTGCCCAGAGAAGGACCTGCCCAGATGGCCTGAGCCCATTGGTCCCGGGGGTGGGGCGGGGGCAGGAGGAGGAGGACAGGAGACGAGTGTGTGAGCCCCAGCCAAGCGCCCAGGCAGGGCCCCAGCCCAACAAGCCCCGATCAGCAGAATCAGCATATACGTGATGGCAAATAGTCAGTGTTGAATGCCGGGGAGCGCCCTGTTTTTAACTCGGTAAAGAGTAACGGACGCCCTCTCTCCCAGCCCCACCTCCCTCCACCCCCCACTCCTGACAGCTCCACTCCCACGTGGGCTCCCTCTGGTCTCCACAGCTGCTCTCAGCCTGGAGGGCTTTCCCCGCTGTTAGTCAATAACGCGTTTCTCTTGTCCAGTGGCCGTCAGAGGCCCCGAGACGCAGGTAACGCCCGCTTTGGCGGGAAAGGAACCAGGAGGAAGAGGCGTTTCGGGAGCAGATGACACGCGACGGATGCATCGGTCAAGAGGAACACACCCTGCACTCAACTTACACAGACAACACAGGGAGCAGCTCCTGGGAAGTGCGCACGGAGGTGGGCGTGGGGTGCAGTCAGGCCCTGGTGCTGGCACTGCCCCCTTCCCTACCCCCCCCACCCCCCCATGGGGAAGCCCGGCCTTGCCCAGGGACACGGAGAGCCACACGCAGGGCCACAGCCCAGCAGCACTGGGTCCCTGACGTGGCCCTGGTTCCTGCTACTTCCTATCAGCACCCCTAAGGGGGAAAGAGCGGGGAATCGAGTTGTGTATAAAACGTTCTTCATTATATCGACCAGTGATCACAGCCACGCCAACAGCACACACACTGGCAGAGACAGCCTGGCGGAGATCTCCATCCTGTCCGCAGAGGTGCCTTAAGGTGATTGGATTGAGATATTTTTAAATTCTCTTCCTTTAATTCCCTTCTCTCCCTACTTCTCTGTCTCCTAGATTTCCTGTAATGAATACATATTTTAATAGCTCTACTGAGGTGCAATGGATACGCAAAAACACATGTATTTTACGTATATGGTGTGATGAGTGCGGACATATGCATCATCTATATTATGTTTACGGTGGAGAAATAACCATGCTATTAAGTTAGAGTGGCAGTGTAACCAAGGGTACCCAGAGCCAACGTGGGCCATAAATGCTGGGCGGTTACCACAGCAACGGACACTAAACATCTGCAGGCAATTTACAACATGTACGTCAGCTTCATATCCGCCACCCCCTGTGCCCCCGGCCCTGCAGGAGGTGTGACTGTGAGTCCTGCTGGCAGAGCCTCCTGCGCCGTTCGCGGGCCAGGCGGCCGTCCTGGGCTGGACCTGGGCTCCAGGGCCGTGGCTGCGCGGCCAGGGGCTGGTCACACCCCTTCTTGAGGCTCAGTGGTGCCATCTGAACAGGGGATAGTTGCATGTGCCCAGGATGAGGAGCTCCAGGGAACAATGGAGGCGAGGACTTTGGGAGGAAGAACCTTGGAGCGTGGTGGTGGTTGTTCCGCGGCGGTGCTGGCTGAGAAGGGAACGGGCACATCACAGCACCTGCCACGCACAGCACGGCCACCCCACCCCGCTCTGCCGGGGGGGGGGGGCTGTTCCCCAGCGTTAGAGGTGGGAAGGGTGCACGCTCCCCCACCCCCACGCACGAGGTGCCTCGCGGATGCTGCGCTGACCAGAGCGCCACCTTCGCGGGCCACCAGGCAGCTCTGATCACCATTCAGGTCTCCGCTGCCCCGGGGGAGCCGCCAAGTCCTGCACGCCAGCATCTATTCCTTTGTGTGTATCACAGCATCTCCTGTGGGGCCTGGGACAGCCCTGGGGATGGGGACAGCGTGAGGCCGAGAGAGGGCAGGCCTGACCCGGCAGACTCCGGCCCAGGCCCAGCAGCACCATCCGCAGGGAGTGCGGCCCGAGACCGAGTTTCCTTGCCTGTAAATTAGGTCTCGTGCGGACTGTGGTGAGGACAGGGCTGCATGCAGGACAGGATGCACAAATGGGGCTCCCCGAACCCCAGCTCCCACAGAGGCGCCCTCAGGCGGGGTCAGGACAGCAGAGGGAGGAGCCCAGAGAACCGGGACTGTGGGACGCGCTGGACCAGGACAGGGCATAGTAACAGCCGACCCTGGGTCCTCCCTGGACACCGACCGTGCAGCGCGGCCTCAGCAGGTTTTAGCATCTTCCCTGTAGATGCGGCCTCCCCACTGTCTAATGCTACACGATCCCGTCACCCCAAGAAACCCTGCGCCCCAGCGGTCACTGCCCCCTCCCGGCCACCGCGGACGTGCCTCTCTTGGACGTTTCATGTGATGGGAATCCTACGACCTGTGGCCTGTGCCGGCCTCTCCCTCGGCCTCAGGCTCTCAGGTTTGCTTTACGGCTGATGACACTCCCCTGGGGTCGCATGCTTTTACAGACAGGCCTGCTCCCTTCAGGCAGAAACCCAGGCCCCAGAAGAGGGGGGGCGGGGGAGGGAGCCTGGGAAAGGCCCTGGATCCCTGACCACGCTTGGCCCACATCTGCCAGCGGAGGGGCCAGAGCAAGTGGGGGCCAGCGCTGCCCCCTCGGTGGGTGCCTCAGGGCCAGGGCTGGGGCTGCCAGCTCCTCCCTGCCAGGCCAGACGGCCCCTGCAGAGTGGCTGTTGGCCTGGCCGGCACAGAGGCAGATGGGCCTGGGGGCAGGAGTCCGGGCAGCTGGGGGTCGGCCTGTGGTCAGCAGGACCCGGTCAGGCTGCCGGCCTGTTTCTAGGCCATGTCGGATGGTGCTCACGGCAGCAGTGACGCCCAGATGGGGTCCAGCACAGCCCTCCAGGCGCCACCCCTCACTCAGACCCCTGTGGGCCCTCCAGGTGGTCAGTGGCCCGAGGCCAGAGCTACAGGGTCGGGCCTGGACCGAGGAGACCCCTGCTCCCGCCTCTCCTTGCAGCACAAGCTCCTGAAAGCCCCGAGGCAGCGCCCGGCCTCTCTCCTGCAGCCGGAGGTCCCAGGGCCCCGCCCCAACCCCCGGATCAGAATCACTGGTGCCTGGAACCTGCATTTGACAAGGTCCCCGGGCGCTGAGGTCTGGGAGCCACTGGGAAGCGCTGACCAGGCTGTGATGGGAGACCCCACTTCAAAAGCCGCCCGATTCTCAGCAGGTTACAGACGTGCCTGAGCCTGCTCGCCCGTCCCTAAAGGGATGTGAGGATTTCACGAGGCAACAGATATCTAAGTACCCGGCAACGAACACCTGCCTGGAAAGTGTTAGTACGGTCAGTACCAGGTTGTTCTCATGATGCACCCAAACCAAGTCCCAGAACCGTGGGATACGGAGAGGAAGGGGAAGGGCAAGAATCACTAACCAGACGAAGACAGAGAGGGGCTGAGATGTGGTGAACTTGCATCCGGGTCCTGACTCGAATCCCACCCTCTCCTGCTCTCATTTCACCCCCGAGCCTCAGTTTCCCTCCGTGTGTGATGGCGACAGGAACTGCCCAGGCCGGAGGGCTCTGCCAACTGTCAAGCGCTGTCCCCAGCCAGCGTGAGGAGCCGCCGTGGAGAGGGACATGGGGCCGTGTCCGGGCAGCTGGCCTCGCTGGCTCCTCCTCCCGCCCTGCCTCCTGCAGGCGCGGCCTCTGCCCAGGCAGGCGAGTGGGGCCAAATGGCCAGCTGACAGACAAGACACCTTCGGGCCGCATCACATCAGCGTGCCCATCCGAGCCCTGGCCAAGCCCGTGTCGGCTCCAGGCGCAGGGGAGACGCGGCTCAGGCATGAGCGGGTGCTGAGGTCATGGTTGGCAAAGTCGGCCAAGCCCGCTGCCACCTCTCCCGCCCCCGCCCGGCCCAGGCTTTGTTACGGCTCTCCTGGAAGGCTGGCCGCCTTCTCCCGGCCCAGTCGCTCCCGTGGCCAGAGGGACTTTCCCGAAACTGCCACATCCTCACCGTGACCATGATCCTCCCTAAAGCCTGTGGCTCCCCCTCCCCCTCCACCCTCGCTGCCAACACAACCCTCCCCTTAGCCAGCCCAGATGTTTTACATTTTCCTGAATGGGACCATTTATCCATTCAGTAGTATTTACTGAGCACCTACTGGGTGCCAGACCCTGTACGAGGCACTGAGCATTCAGAGGTGGCCGGGGGGAGCCCTCCAGACTAAGCGAGCTCTGCGTGCTGTAAACACAGCCAGGCTCCTGCCCTCCCCCCGCCTCAGGGAGAGGTCCCGGATCCCCGCCTCTGGGGGGCAGGGAGGGAGGAGGGCAGGGGTGACAGGGGCTGCAGGCAGTGTCAGGACCTGCACAAGAGGAGCTGGAACAGCAGTGACAGCCCCAACATCAGGGACACCCCAAGGTGGCCGAGGGGAGGGTGTGGGCTGGGAGGCGGATGGGCAGGGCCCCTCCCGCTCCGGGTGGCAGCTCCACCTCCCACCTCGGTAGGCTCCATCCCCTCACCTGTCAGGTCCCTCATGGTCGGGACTGAAAGGGGAGCTGCGGGTAGAGGCCTGGCCCGGGGCCCACCCAGCTGCCTGGGCTCCCCTCTCCAGTGCTCCCAGCTGCCTGGGCCAGGACACCAGGCCGTGAACAAGGAGTGGCCGGGAGATGTTCCCGTCCTGGCTGCACACCAGTTGCCCTGGCAGGACCTGGGCCCGGCACGGGGCGGGGGGAGGGGGGACTCGCTCACTGAGGACTCACCACGGCCAGGCACCCAGGCACCGGCTAGAGGCCTCGCCCACAGGGTGCTCCACCCTCCCAGCCGCCCTGGGAGTGCGAGGCAGTTTGCCGTTTCCACGTAGGGAAACCGAGGCCCCAAAGGTGCTTGTCCTCGTGCTGGGAGCTTCCACGCCGGTTGGACCCCAAGGCCGTGCTCCTGGCACTGTGGGCGCGGCTGGGCGGGCCCATGTCCCTTCACTGCGAGACGGCCACGCACCTCCAGGGGGAGTCCAGCGCGCCTCCCGCCCGGGGCCCTGCGCCCCGGCCACACAAGCCCTCTTCCCACCCAGGACCCCTGCTCCCAGATGAAGATGAGCACACCGCCCGGCCAGCGTGGCTCAGTGGTTGAGTGTTGACCTATGCACCAGGAGGTCATGGTTCGATTCCCCGTCAGGGCACATGCCTGGGTTGCAGGCTGGGTCCCCAGTAGGGAGCGTGCAGGAGGCAGCTGATCGATGGTTCTCTCTCATCACTGATGTTTCTGTCTCTCCCTCCCTCTCCCTTCCTCTCTGAGATCAATGAAAACCTATTTTTAAAAATGAGCACAGGAGGTGCCCTCAGGCAGGGCCGCCAGCTGGGGTTCCCAGGCTCCTTCCTGGTTTTTTCCTGGAGACACAGACCTCCAGCCCAAGTGCATTACCCTGCCGAGCAGATGACACTGTCAGGAGGGGTGGGACAGTGTGGGGACCACTCACACCCCAGCCTCACACCCTGGTGGGGGCCTTCAGGGCTGGCATGCCTCGCCTGCCCTTCCAGAAAGCCTGATGGGTGGCGACTGCCTCCACCTCCTGGCCTGGGCCCACGGGAGGGCGTCGGCCACAGTGGACGCCGGGGCCCAGGCTGGGCAGGTGCGAATGGCTGGTTTCCGGAGGAGCCTTGGACTGTGCCCTCACCTCACGTGTCCTTTACATCCCCGCACGCGTGTCCCTGGGAGGTGCCAGGTGCACTGGCTGTGACGGCGACCGTCGTGACTCCAGGACTGCGTGTAGGATGAAGAAGATGTGGAGACCGAGGGGGGGACCAAAGTGTGGGCAGCAGCACGGGGCTCCACACAATGCAAAGCCCTAAACTCCGGAGCATCCTGGCCCAGGAGCCGACGAGCTGGGCCTGAGGTCTCTGCTCCGCTCTGCACAACCCGTGGGCCTGGCAGCCAAGTGGCTCCAGGGGCCACGACCATGGAGTGGGGGCCACAGGTCAGCTCCCAAGTGCCTGGCCGTGAGCTCGGGGGTCAAGCCACCACCAGTCCTGGCTCTGGGAGGCCCTGAACAAGCCCCTGAGGAGGACCCACCGGTCAAGGGCATGCGTGTCCCCTTGCCCTCCTGACCGACAACACCTTTCAGGCCAGCTGGTAGACCAGGAGGCGGAGGAGCCGGTGAGCCGAGGCCAGAAGGAGTCACGGGGCTAATGAGAGCTGTCGGAGAACTGCAATTACCGAGCCTGGTGGGAAGCGGCCACAGCTCCCGCAGCTGCGGGAGTCCCTCCACCAGGATGCCCCTCGCTCAGCGTGCCCGGCATGAGAGAGAGGGGGGCCCAGGGCGGCTCTGTGCCCCTTAAAGGGGCAGATGGGTCCCCTGCGGGTCGGAGCCCGGGCGACAGAAGCTCAGGGAGCCGGCACCAGGGCCTGGTTTGAAGGCTAGAATGACAGGAACGGCTCCGTCCTCCTCCTCGGCTCCCGCCCCTCCCTGTGCTTTATTGATATTTTTTTAAAAGATGGAAACAGGGGCTGAGCGAGGTGGGGAGGGCCAGCTCCCTGGAGCCCTCACTGTCCTCTCTGAGCTCAGAACCCCTTCCTCTGGTGAACGTTTAGTCCTGGGGGTTAAACACGCTACACTCCGCCGTTCCGCCCATCAGAGCGGGAGTCAGGCCCGCTCCCACCCAGGCCACCACCATGCCATCCGAGTTGGCTCTGGCCGCTCAGGGTCTGGGTGTGGTTATCTGTAAAGTGGGCGGTGGTGGCTGCGTGGGGGAACCAGAAACTCTGCAACTGCACGACTTCCCAGCACACCCCGGGGCCGAGCTGCCGTGTGAAAGACGGGACTCGCGCATTCTTTAGTATAAGGATATCCCAATGTTATGTGGCCCATACTTATCTAGGGGGAAAAATTGTTTTCTGAAATCAAATTTAATTTGGGCGAACTGTCTTTTTGTTTGCAAAACCTGAGGACCCTATCAGGGCCACAGACTGTTCTAGAGAGACTAAGCAGTAATCCCAGCAGGGTGGAGGCGGGGAGAGGTACGCAGGGGGGCGGGGAGGATGGGCCTTCTCAGAATCTCTCTGGGTCAGGGCCCTCTATCTGAGAATCACTGAGCCGGGAAAAGCAGATCCCACAATTTCCGAGTGGTACCTGCAGCTCTTGGGGCTCAGCCACAGTTGTATCTGTCTCCTCATTTCACAGATGAGGAAACCGAGAAGGATGAAAGGAATTTCCCTGAGGTCACAGAGCTCCCGAGAGGAGCTGGGTCCGGTGACCCCGAGCCTGCTTTCCTTCCCCCTCTGTGGGCCCAGCACAGCGCTGGAACCTGGCTCTTAGCAGACACTCAACAGCTGAACAAACGAATGAATGAATGAATGAATGAATACGTAAATGAACAAGTGAATGGGGGATGAAGGAATACGTGAATGCCACCGTGAGGACACGCCTTCTCTTTGAACTCAGCGCAGAAGGAGAATCCCCAGTTTAATGATGGGAAGGGATCCCAAGGGCCAGCCCACAGCAGGACGCAAACACTTTCATTACTGTTTATGGCTTCCGGGCTCATTAGCAAATCCCAGGGCCCCTGGGGGCGGTTAGGTGGGGGAGGGGGGCCTGCCGTGACATAGGGGAGGGCCCAGGTCTGGGAGGCAGCCCGCCTGGAATCCAGATGCTGACATGACAACATCAAGAAAACCTCATTTGCAAACCCGAATTAGTGCCATCCTGATGGTCATAGAGAAGAGGAATGGGCGCATAAAGCCGCCGTGAACAAGCACGGCCGTGGCCATGGCGTCGCCGTGGAGCCCGGAGAACTCGTAAAGGCGGGTTGCTGTCCCCCCGCCCCATTGGGTGACTTACGGACTCGGCTCCATTCTTTGTTTTGTATCCCGACAGGGGAGTCTCTCCCCTTAGTTTATCTCTCGTCCTCCTTATTAATAACAGGCAGGTGATGCTCATATAAATACATAATCACAGCCATGACCATCCCGATGAGGAAAGCCGGCATGTTTCAGTGCGGTGCGGAGCCGGCCCTTTCCGGCGCACATTACCGGCACACATTACCGGCACTACCGTGTTCAATTTTGAACAGCTTAAGACAGTGATGGCGAACCTATGACACGAGTGTCAGAGGTGACACGCTAACTCATTTTTTTGGTTGATTTTTCTTTGTCAAATGGCATTTAAATATATAAAATAAATATCAAAAATATAAATCTTGTTTTACTATGGTTGAAATATCAAAAAATTTCTATATGTGACACGGCACCAGAGTTAAGTTAGGGTTTTTCAAAATGCTGACACGCTGAGCTCAAAAGGTTCGCCATCACTGGCTTAAGACGGTCTTGCCTTCCTGCTGTCTTTCCTTCTGCTTCCCCGAGTGCATCTGACACACTTGTTTATCACGTGAACCCACGTCCACTCCTGGAGTGGCCAACGTGACCCAACCCTGGCCGGCGTGGACCAGGCTTCCCGTGACGCTGAGAAACGATGCTGGGTGTCGCTGTGCCTTTCAAAGCCCGCTCTTGTTGTGTGCACTTCGTGCCTGAGAAAAATAAACCGTCTCATCCTCCTCGCTTCTTCATTCCTACTGTCAAAGCACCCGCGCTTCACTGAGGTGGGCTGAAGGGTGGCCCTGCAGGAGATGTGTCCACTGTCCAATCCCCAGAACCGACCTTATTTGGGAAAAGGCTCTTTGCAGATGCAATAAAGGCGAGGATCTCGAGATGCTATCACCCTGGTTATCCAAATGGACCCTGAATCCAGTGACAAGTATCTTCAGAAGGGACACACAGAGGAGAGGCACACTGAGGAGGAGGCAATGTGACAAGGGAGGCAGAAATTGGAGTGATGCGGCCATAAGCCAAGGAATGCCGGCAGCCTTGAGACGCTGGAAGAAGCAAGGATGGATTTTCCCCAGGATGGGGGCGGGGGGGGCTCCAGAGGGGA